TCCGTTAAGCTTCAAAGTTAGAGAGTGTTCTTACCATTCCATTTGATTATTATCATCTTCCTCAAGAAAAAGTGTCGACCAGCTTAACACAGTGGGAATGGACGTTATTATCCGTTGAACTGAAGTCAGAGCCGATTGTTCTAGCGTATAACAGCACCAGAGGTCGTAGGATGTGGTCCCTGTTATCTATGGAATGATGGCACCATTTCGCAAGGAATAGAGGCTGATACATCCACCAACGCCTAATCCAGCCCACATCAAACTCACACCACGGCTTGTTTCTTTATATAAATGTACTAGATTCTCTTCAATTGACCATAAGCCTGTTATCTGACTGCAGGGAGAGCGTAGATTATCTGTTTAAAATGAGTAGTGCTCCACATGCTGATGAGTTTTGCATGTTTCATTGTCACAACTGCGAGCAAATTGTTTTTGCCTTACTATAAGCGAAATTTATCTCATTAAGTGTATGGCATATAGGTCGCACCATCCACTTGCACTACGAACATCTGATTCAGTCTCAGAACAGGTAACCTACAATTGCAAGTAGCCATAATCAACAGGTGACGATATTCTGCTTGGGTTGTGAACGAAGTGGCTCAGCATTCTTTTAACGATACTCTTAGATGTTGTAGCCAACTGGCAACATCCTGCTGTGATTGGCTAGTTTCAATTTGTAGAATGGCTTTCTACGTGAGTGAAACATCGAAATATTTGCTTTGAGATCAAACCATAATACATGAATAATATATAATATTTTAAACCTTATAATTAACTTGAAATTGACAACAGAGATATGACTGTGAAAGACCACAATACATATAGTATAAACTGTCCAATCACTTGCATTTATGATTATCAGATGCTTGATTTGCTTAAAACTGAAACGGGAATTACTTAAATTATTATATAAAAATGGTTTTACCTTTTACTAGCTTATATTTTGCTAAATTCCAATTCTTCATGAATTGTTTGTTTTTATATTTTTATGTCGTAATTGTTTGAACCAACACAAGTGTTTTCTGTGTTCGCTTGTTTACTATACATTCTTTTAGTTATTGTTTTAAAACAAAACTTAAACGTACTTTATTTTATTTTTTTCAGGGTGGTAGTGTGTGAATAAAAGCATCTTTTATCTTTTTCTGTCCCCTGGTAGGTTTGCAGTAAGTTTACGGAATTACAACTTTAAAATGAGAAGCTCGAGTCCTCGCGGTGGACAAGATAGCCCATTATTTTGCCTTTCGCTAAAATAAAGAAACACATTTTCATCCATCAACAAGATGATAAACGTATCAGTAAACACTGAATGACGTCTCTGATATTTGTTTACAAAATAACATTTAATCAAATTATTAGACTCGAATCATAAAATTTAGGCTCGGCACGGCCTAGTGGTTAGGGTGGGTGGTTTTGACTAGCTGCCTTCCCTCTTGTCACTAAACAGAGTTCAAATAAGTTATTAGGCAATATATAGCTCTCGGATAGCTTTCTGCGAAATTCAACAAACAAACATAAAACGTGTTGAAATTGTATTGCTATTAAACATTCATTTTATGAATGTGTTTTTACTAAAAATATATCACAGTCTTATACCAACGAAGTTAAATTGTAAAATAATTAATTATTTAAGTAATTAATTGTGTTTTTTATAATTTATTTGTAGTGAGTAAAGGACCTTACAACTACCATATACATAAGCTTAACGAAGGGTATCAAATGGATGATCAGTAAATCATTCTTACGTTTCATATCAGAGAAATGAGTGAAAATATGTCATTTGTGAGTAAATTATTATGACATTTTAAGACGTATGATATATAAAGTAATATATTAAATAAATGGAAGGAAGCAGTTTAGGCTTATTTGACGATAACTTTCTTGACTTCCGCTTTTAGTTTTATAAGGAAAACACTTTAACTTCTTGGAACTTTTAGTATGATAGAAACAAACTATGATGAAGCCAAGAGGAAAGAAGATTTGCTCATCTTTCAGTGTGCGAAATCTGGTAAACTTATGAATATTAGAAACAACAGCATAAAGAAATAGTTTATCTTGATTGAAGGAGATTTCTGTCAAAATATTAGTTTGTGATGGTGGTTAATGTACATTAGGAATAGTGCATCTTCCACCTTCGTGTAAAACATTATGACGAAGCTGGTTGTTAATCATTTATAATTCTCGTCTGATATTTCAAAAGTGGAAATTTTGCTTTTCTACATTAAATAAAACGTCTTAAATATGGAAATTTATGGAAATACTACAAATATAAACAGTTATTGAACTTTATACTTATAAGTTGGTAAATATACAGTATACATTACGGTAGGTTGAAGCAGATAAGATTCACTCGAAATTTAAAATCTAACTCTGTATAAAAATGAATATGTAAAAAGAACATAGAAAAGCAACAAATTCATAAAGAGTGGCCAACTTTACCAAAATGTTTAATAGAAGAAAATCAACTACCTACTTGATAGTTTAGTATGGGACTTTTTATGGTTTTCTTTTGATATTTGTGTAGTGTTTGTGAACGGTTTGAATTAGAATTGTAGTTTAAAAGCTGTACTTTTATTATTTTTTTACTCCATATGCATATATATGACGGTGATGGCCAAGACTATTGGTAAGTGTTCCATGCTGGGGATCGAAAAGTCCAACGTTCCGATCGTAATATCCTGTTGAATACACTTAACACTCTTAGTTGTGAAGGCGTTATAACTGTGCAGTCAATTTTAATATTCGGTTAAGTGTAACCGCACAGACGGTAGGATCAGTGATTGTTGCCCTGCATATGATTAGAAGTTAGGAGTGACCATTACTGAACCTTAGAAGATTTTGAACTCGCTGTTTATCCCATGTGTTCCATACAATGTCGTTTATGTAGAAAATACGAAATATTTCGACATGTTATTTAATAATTCCATTCTAAAAGTCTTAAACATTAATCTATATTCCAATCAGTATATATACTCAATAAGATGTATTTGATGTAAATTATTCTTTAAAATAAGGAATAAATACGCACTTGTTATATATTTAATTTCTTAAGCTGCTCTTCTTAAAATTACACTTAAATTCATTATCCACAAGCAAAATTCAGTGCTGATGGTATTATAACCAATGAAAACGTTTCACCTCACCAACCTTAAATACAAGTAGTCATTTTATGTGCATTAGTTCCGAAATGTTTTAAGTTAACGTGGCTCTGGAGATATTATACAAAGATTTTCCTACACGCGATTAGTGAGGTAAGTAGCAGGATCCAAAGGATTAACTACATCGATGTTCTTGGTATTACAGAATTAACTCGTGTATGTAGCATAACCTCAAGGTTCGCGCAACATTACCTCTTTTAGGGTAACAAATAATTAAATATTATAGTGAGACATTAAATAATTCTAAACACATCACTCTCTACTGATCATCTTCGATGTTGTAAACCACACAACGAGTTGTCTTTTAACAACAGCGGGCCTCTGTGTATTACAATCCAACCGTCATGATGATCTCTAATGTTAGACAAATAATTCAAACAAACAACAACAATAACAAAAAAACAGCTCTTGCATAACGTTAAACGTAAAAGCTACTTTAATAACCAATTGCATTACTCTTTTTTTTCTTTTTTTTCCTACATATTTATTTATATTTTCGTCCTGAACTGAGTTTATATATCTTTGCTGAGAGATGGTCAGTTATGTTCTAATTGAACCGTGTTAGAGTAGTTCAATCAGAACATAACTGACCGTCTCTAACATAGTTCAATCAGAACATAACTGACCGTCTCTAACACGGTTCAATTAGAACATAACTGACCATCTCTAACACAGTTAAGTCAGAACATAACTGACCATCTCTAACACAGTTAAGTCAGAACATAACTGACCATCTCTAACACAGTTAAGTCAGAACATATCTGACCATCTCTAACACAGTTCAATAAGAACATAATTGATCATCTCTAACAGATGGTCAGATATGTTCTGACTTAACTGTGTTAGAGATGGTCAGTTATGTTCTGACTTAACTGTGTTAGAGATGGTCAGTTATATTGTGATTTAACTGTGTTAGAGATGGTCAGTTATGTTCTAATTGAACTGTGTGTGTGTGTGCTTTCATCCATGTCGTTAAACAAATATTACATTCTATGCCATCACTATCGTTGTAACGGCTTTATGAAGATTATTGATTTTTTTAAAGAAATATGGTGACATATAAAATAAATTTTGAGTCATCAAGTAAAATTAGTGTAGTTTATGTCAAGAATGATTTTGGTAAATTAGTGAGATGTCAACAGATGGCTTTGTTTGTATATGATTTAAATGCCCATGTTTCGGATAGTAAAAACAGATTGTGTTAAAATAAGTACTATAACAAGTTTCAAACTGCTTTATCTTAGCCCCACCCCGATGGCTCGGCAATAAGCTGAGAGCTTATAACTCTACCATTTGGGGTTTGATCCATGCGATGGGCAAAGCTTAGATAGCTCACTGTTCAGCTTTGCCTTAAAACAAATAAGCCTTATCATAAAACTTTAAGAATTATAAGTGTCCCTCAAACCTAATGCTATACATTTGATGTCATTAGGTTAGATTATAACACCGCTATTAGTCTCTATGAACAGTAGGCTTAGCATTTGAAAATCTTCTAATAGAATAAAGAACCTGACCGTCAGTTCGTGCCTTTAATGTTCATAGGAATGATATCGAGAAAGATGTTCTTATGAAAGGAAATGTGAACTCATATAACTAGACGTACCATCGTTCCACTTACCATTAAGTTTATCATTCTGAACATTAGTAGTATGTTTTCAGTACCTCTTCGAAATACGATAAGACTTATATACTATAGTCTCTTATATGTGTGCAAAACTTTCTTCGAAGAAACAATTTATATATCTATATAATGATACAGCATAATTTACCTAAGACTTACTTTTTAAGATGCTTATTGCAATTGGTTCAAATAATGCTAATCTTCAAGCATTTTTTGATTTTTAGGTCAGCCTACTGTTGTGCGTTTTCACGTCACAGTTCTAAGTCTAGACTCTATAGACGAAGGTTCAATGGTAAGTAGGTAAACTGTGATTCTAACTTAGGAGTTCGTGTATACTCTATAACCAAACGGTTGGACTGTAATTTATAAAAAAACACCCTAAAACTAGCATCCGTTGGTAATAAATAGACAAATGTTTTTGTATCTAAACTTTATAGACGTATCTTTAATGATATCAGAGGTTATTAAACCAGTCAGTTTGGTCAAATCACATTGAAGCGATTGTTTCGAGTTAGTACAAGATGTTGGCACAAATTCTATATAATTAAACAGAAATCATGTTGATAAATGTCATTAGGATGCGATTGTTCTGGGTTAGTACAAGTTGTTGATATAAATTATGGATAGTTAAACAGAAATCATGTTGATAAACGTCCAAATTGTTCAGCTATTTTTAAAGTGCTTAAACACCGAAATTATGCTTACATGAATACAGTCCTCCAAGTTGTTGAACTATTTTAAAGTCTTTTGAATTTTATAAACAGTGTATGTTTTAGTGTTGTTTTTATAGGCAGTGTATATTTTTAGTGTTTATTTATAAACGGTGTATGTTTTAATGTTGTTTTTTATAAATAGTGAATTTTTAGTGTTGTTTTTATGGACGGTTTATCCTTTAATGTTGATTTTTTTATAGATGGTGTATGCTTTAGTGTTGTTTTTATAGACAGTGTATGTTTTAGTGTTTTTATATAGACAGTATATATGTTTAAGTGTTGTTTTTTAAAAACGGTGTATGTTTTAATGTTGTTTTTTATAGACCGTGTATGTTTTTCGTGTTTTTATAGACAATGTAGGTTCTATTGTTATTTTTTATAGACAGTTTATGTTTTAGTTTTGGTTTTATAAACAGTGTATGTTATAGCTTTTACTTTATAGACATGCCCAGGTGGTTAGGGCACTCGACTCATAATCTGAGGGTCGCGGGTTCGAATCCCCGTCCCACCAAACATGCTCGCCCTTTCAGCCGTGGGGGCATTATAATGTGACGGTCTATTCCACTATTCGTTGGTAAAAGAGTAGCCCAAGAGTTGGCGGTGGGTGGTAATGACTAGCTGCCTTCCTTCTAGTCTTACACTGCTAAATTAGGGACGGCTAGCGCAGATAGCCCTCGTGTAGCTTTGCGCGAAATTCAAAAACAAACAAACAAACAAACACTTTATAGACAGTGTATATTTTAGTGTTGTTTTTATAGACTGTATGTTTTTAGTGTGTTTATAGACAGTGCATGTTTTAGTGTTGTTTTTTCAATATGGATGAATGAGGAGCCACCTTAGAAATACAAGTAAGGGAAAAGACGAGGAGTAGAACTCGCTTCCTGATGAACGTGATATATGAAGTTCCTGTAAATGTTATTCTTTAACTCACAGGTTAACATACACAGATGTTCATTTCGCTTCTTCAGTATAATCCTCTTGCAAATCGCACATCTATAACAGCTCTCAGTTTCTCAGATTGGATGTCAACTATGGCAGTTTTTACAGAGATAAGCCTACTCTAGAATGAGATCTTGCGATCTTCGAGTTTTAACTCATTCAAGTAGATGTTTGATATTTTCCATAGCTTACTTAAAAAGGTAGGAATTTTCATCGCCTTCAGACCATAAGCTCGAAACTTCACCAGAAAGCACGTGTGTGACTTAGTCCCTTGTTAAATTAGTGTAATGCTGCTTTTCATTTTGCTCCAAAATGACAAGTACAGCTTGTTGTTTATCAGTTATTTTAAGCGATAGGAGAACAACTCAAGATCCTTCAAAAGCTAGTTTATATACTGGCTCATAGAAGTTTCTTGTATCAAGTGCAATTAAATTGGTTGTTATATTTTTTTTAACTCAGAATACTGGGAATACGTAATTTTATGACGTATTAATTATACAGTCACATATGCATAAGTTTATGCCACGAAGATGAAACGTTATTAAAACAAATTACATCAGCTGAATATACGCACATATGTATGTACAATACCTATATTAAATATAACCGAATTTTAAAATGTGGACGCCCAGCTTATTTTATCAGGTTTTTGAAGAAATACCTAACTTTCTGTAGGAGTGGTTATTTCAGTGACGTACACTTCTCTCTTGTCAACTACCCTAATCTTATTAGAAAAACGCGACAACAAAATGTCTGTTACGAGATCATAACAATTAGACTGAACGACACTTGGTCATATCCTTAATCACGAAGATAAACGATAACAATAAACTAAAGATATCAGAACCTGTTTCCTATCTTCTGCACAACGCAGACACCAGCAAATTGCAGAGAGAGAAAAAGAGGCTGGTTCTTGATTTAAAAAAATACAGTACGACAGAATAACGTTAGAGAAAAGCTGACATTATTTCTATTCGTATTTCATTTTAAAAGTTAAAAAGTACTCTGCCCTTAAATAGCGTGTTATTTATACTATAAATTCATTTACTTTGTGCCTCTAATAAATTTGAATTATTTATTTCCTTATACTCAAACTATATTAACAAGTTTGTGACACTTCTGTCTTCATATTTATGTGTATAATCAATATATACAGATATGTAATACATATATATATATATGTGTGTGTGTGTGTGTGTTAAATATATTACCAGGACAGAAAAGCCTTCAAAAGGTTATTTATTATCTGATACACATAGTATAATGTCTGTGGTTACAACGTTTCACCATGTTAATCTGGTATCATTAGCTACAACAACCATCGTGAATCAACTCATAATCTAGGTCAGTGGTTTTCAAACTGTGTTTCTTGGAAATCCAGGGTTCCGCGAAGGGGCAGAGATAACAGATAATGGCGGTTTTTTCAATTATTGAATGTTAACACGTCAGGGACCAAATATACTTTTTAATTTATATTCGTACGTATATAAATTTGTCTGTGTATATGTACGTGTGATAAGATAGGAAGAAGACACGACTTCTAACGAGGTTTTAAGGGTTGGAGTTTCATGATAGAAGAAATGAAATAAAAGGGTTCTGTGACTTCATAAAGTCTGAAAACCAGCTGACTTAGGTTTGTTTGTTTTGAATTTCACGCAAAGCTACACGAGGGCTATTTGCTCTAGCCGTCCCTAATTTAGCAGTGTAAGACTAGAGGGAAGGCAGCTAGTGATCACCACCCACCACCAACTCTTGGGCTACTCTTTTACCAACGAATACTGGGATTGACCGTCACCTTTTAACGTCCCCACGGCTGAAAGGGCGAGCATGTTTGGTGTGACGGGGATTCGAACCCGCGACCTGCAGATTGCGAGTCGAGCGCCCTAACCACCTGGCCATGCCGGGCCGCCCCCCAAGTTTGTTGATGAGCCATCGGGGGACAATTGAATGATAATGCTATGCTTAGGTTTAAATAACACAGAAATAACGAGAATGAAATACTTGTAAGCACGTGTAATAAAACGCTGTTGTTCATTTTCGTGCTTATTTCATACGCAAATAATATTTTATAAATCTAGTTACTCAATTGTTACTTTCAAACTGACGGTTGTATATTACAAACACACAAGCACGTATGAGAGAAATAAAAATATAAGTTAAAATTTCAGTGATAATGTGCAAAATAGTGCCAAGCATCTTTTGGTGGTGTTATGCGACTTTGTTTCTTCCAAACCTTCAAAAGTATCCAAATCAACCATGGTAAGAGTCTGAAGAAATGTGAACGACATATGAAAACAAATGTAATTTTTAACTGTGGGAAAAAGCATGAAAAATCAATGTCTGCACAAAGGTGTAAAGATGGTAAAAAAAAGTTTAAGCATTAGGAATAGAACGTGGATATAAGTGGAGATAAAGAAGAAACACAGAAACGCCTAGTACAGGAATTACAAAATTGCCAGAGAAGGTGAAAGAGTAATAGACAAGGACACAATCACAAAACTATATTAAAAATTGTATTAACGAAACAGTCGCCAGAAGGGAATGTGAAGGTGAAAGAGGAATGAATTCACAGGAAATACGAAAGAACGAATTGAATGGAACAATGATAATTAGGAAATGGAAGGTTGATTGGAAGTAATCATATAAAGGATTGAAAAATTATGAGTGTATTGGAAAAAGTTATTTGAAAAGAGTGTGACAGCGAGAGAGGATAGAAATCACAGAAAGAATGAACGTAATGGAACAGTTTGCAATGGGCACCTTGGGAATGCATCAGAGAGTAATACAAAATGAAATTTCACAATTTAGAAAAGATAATTAAATAACGATAGAAAGACGAAGGGATGACACACAAAAAAGAAATATTAGTGCAGTGTCACAGCTATCAGAAGGCAATATGTAAAATAAAGTAACAAATGAATAAAAGGAAGTAATATTACGCGGTTAACCAGGGATGAAAGGATAATATGGAATAATGGGAATACAACAATGAAGAGTTGCCTTGAAATTATTATCTATGGGGGGTAAAGTTTGTTTGTTTGTTTGTAATTAAGCACGAAGCTACACAATGGATTATCTGTACTCTGCACACCACGGGTATATAAACCTGGTGAAACAATGTAGTTAAACCACAATTACAAACTTCGTTTTTCTGAATGGACTATTACGTTACTTCGTCTATTGGCTGGATGTTTAACAGACCTACCGTTCTCCTAATAACTTGGTAAACAGTAAAAATGTTGAAACTGAGTTAAACTGGAGAATGTGTGATGATGTATATGTGATCAACTAAAACTAGCGCACGTAAGTTCCAGTTGTAAATTTATTTATTTTGTGATGTAATATCATCACATGCAATTCCTCATAACTGTACAAGTTAACCTAGATATACCCATGGTATACAATCATAAATAATATTCAACGTTAAACGGGAACACAATTAGAAACATCTTATTTAGGCCTAGCTACAACCATCAGC